AAAAAAAAAAAAGGAAAGATCCAGTACTTTTGTTTATTATTAAGATTTTTGTTTACCAAATATTTTTTTGTTTGTTTTCAGAAGCTAATACTAGCAAAAAAAAAAAAAAAATAGAAAAAGATCTGTTTTCAACTGTTGCCTTCGTCTAAATTCATTAATCGGGGGCAATTACAGATTTAAATATTAAACCAGTGTATATGTCAATACTTTCTTAATAACAAATATCAATAAATATAGAAAAAAGAACTTTAGATCCAAAAAAAAAACAGCATTATCAAAAGTAGCAGCAGCAGTAGCAGTAGTAGTAACAAAAACAGGATAAATGCAAGAAAAATTTATGTTATGCTTAGTGGTTTTCTGATATGTTAGAAATACAGTGAAATGCTAAGATATTAGAAGAAATAATTTGTGTTGTTTAAAAAGTAGCAAACAAAAAAAGTTGAAGAAAATAAGAATAGAAAAGAAAGTAGAAGAATAAGCAAATTAAGTGGTATAATTTAATTACTGTTTTAAATTAAAATTGATTGTAGTTTATTAATCAAAGTAATATAAATTGTATTACGAAAACAAAAAAGCAACAACAATAACAACAAAAAAAACAACAGTAGAAAATTACCTTTTCTTGAGTATCAAAAACTTTTCGAACAAATGTTTCAAGAAAACGTGCAAACGTTGTACGTCGTTTACGTTTTTCACGTTCAACAAGATGTTCAAAAGATGCAGAATCACGATGCTTTTTCCGTCGATGCCGTCGTATAGCTGCAGCAATACATCCAGCTGCAACGGCATCTGCCGGTGGTTTACAGACAGCATTTGTATTATTACTACTATTGGCACTATTGGCACTATTAGGTTTTTGGCTCATAAATTGTACACAATTTAGGCTACTTTTTACTAAACTTGGTTCGTCGTCATCAAATTCTACAATACCTTTTTTGGTTGCCATAAAAAAAAAACAATTCTTATCTTTTTTTTTTTTTTCTTTCGTCTTTTTTTGTCTTGTAAAACCAACACCAACACCAACAACAACAATAACAAATAGCAGTATAAATTGTTTGGTTAAGAAAATAAAAAAGCAAAAAAAAAAAGTGAAAAACAAAAAAGCCAAAAACAGGCAGAAAAAAATGCAAAAAAAATTTTAAGCTTTACTTATAACCACTTAAGGTTTTTTTTTTTTTTTGAGCAATTATTTAGCTAATAACAAATACAGTATTAGCAGTAACAAGAGGAAAAAAAAAGTTGACAAGAATTATTGAAGAATTTTGCTTATGTAAGTGAGTCGATGGATCAGTGATCTGAGAGATAAAGTGTAAGTGAGCCGTG